AAGCCGATCGGACATTGAAACGTAATTGTCCCAGTGTCCGACCACAATTAGAAAATTAGTATGGTGACGGAAAATAATAGTATAAATAGATGTTTAATGACAAAAGACAACTAATTCAAATTGATCTTTAAGGTAAAAAAAGCATTTGAGATTAATATTAATTTAAATAAAGTTTTGTGTAACTGTCCGGACATAGGTACTGTCCGATTCCAGTGACTGGACATGTACCTATGTCCATTTACATAACACTTTATTTATTTAAGTTGATATTAGTCTCAAATACGCTTTTAAAACGTAATATTATATTTTAATTGTAATCTTTAAATATAATTAAATTATAATACTGTAATAAAAAAAGCATTTGAGATTAATAATAATAAATTTTGTGTAAGTGTCCGGACATAGGTACATGTTCGGACACTGGGACGTTTACCTTACAAATTGATCGCGAAATAGTCAGGAAAAATGAATATTTTTAAAATCGCTATATCTCTAGGTTTATTTTTGTTTCTCGAGTATACGAGAAATTAAAACTTGCACAATGGCCTGACCGTTTTCACGTCTGGTCGCGAACAACGGCTAGTACATTGCGTGGAAAAGTTAGCAGACGGTCGAAACCCAATCCGTTCCGTATTCCGTGCGTGAAACCCGCCCGGTCGGCGAGGTGACACTCTAACAATGGTTAACACCTACGCAGGTGCTGCGTAAAGCACGTCGTTCGTCCTTCTCTCTTCACGGCGGCGTCGAGTTTCCCGCAGGGTGAACAGGAGGTGACCCTCTTGTTGCGAGCTCCTGAATCCCGCGAAAGAAAAAAAAAAGAGCGAGTTATTTGTTATACGTGCTCTGGGATCAGGTCACATAACGACACTAAGCAAACAAGCGTACAAAATGGCACAACTCTCATACGGTACGAGAAACACATCATTTCCTCAAAAAATTGCTATGTTTACTTGACTTATACCTAAGCAGCTTCTCAATTTTATAGGTATCAATAGATTGATTCATAAGATTTCATCATAAAAATCAATGAGAGAAAAAATACACATATAGGAATGCTCTTTTATAAAAGAGATTTTACATAATCGTACACATTTTATAATTATATTTTTTTAGATATATCGTACTGAATATGTATACAAAGTTTAATAATTCTATAAGTATTATATATTTTCTGTCGATAATGTTTAAAGAAGCAAACGTGATGATAAATTAATATGAATAATTACGAGTATAAAAGGAAATATTTTATAGGATGGCAACTTTATTTGCGTGTATTATTTTGTTGCAGCCGGCTGCTATCGAAGATCTTCGAAGATGGACATCCACCGAAGCGCTCGGTGACGTCACTGTACCGCCGGACTGCGCGTCCAGGATCTTGGGCGACACGACTAGCGACGATGCTGTCGATCACAAGCTACCCAGCCCCGAGGAACAGGTTCAGGCTATCGCGCTCAAGTAAGCGGTTTATCTCAATACGTTACTTGATTGCTGATAGAACGGGAATTATAGAAATCGCCGCACGAAATACAAAGACTGACAGAGACCGGAAAATCTTTTCACTACTGAGGATGTGATTTATGAATGATAATCTTGATAAAGCATCAAAAATTTATTTTCAACATATGTCATTAGATTTTAGATCCTTAGCTATATAAAGATATATATATATATATTTAATTATTTTATAAAAAGAATCAAATTATCTTATAAAATTATACGTTCTCTTGATAATTAGATCGTGAAATCAAAAGAGAATAACGCAATGAAATAAGAAAATGAGTTATTTTCAGGTACACCTGCAGTTTTCTTCTCAATATGAAAGAAATATTTTTCTTTCATTTCTTAAAATAGTTGACGGATTGATTTGATGTACGATAACATATCGACGAAGAATCCGAGCTTTAAGAGGTTCAGGACGGAATTTCATATAACATAAAATATTTGTGAAGTTTCGACATCTAACAACGAGTGTTTGGTGCTTTTTCCGGATTCAATATTCAGACGGGATAAAAAGACCTTATCATGTCACATTTGGACCATATAGGGAAGATTTGTCGTACATAACATTCTGCGCGACACTTTCTGCTTTCAACAGTATTTATATGACCGTATACGTATAAAGAAAAATATTGATTTTTTAAATATTTTATTGCAAATTTGTCGTATTATGAATGTAACGAAATCATTATACATAAACATTTCTATTTTTTAAGTTTTTATATAAAACAAATGATAATTATTTCAATAACTTTTAGCAGAATAAATAAATCGCGATTACATCCTGCTTGAGTAATCTATTGACAAGAATTTTAAAATATACTGTAAACTTGTATGAAAATGATGTAATATGATATCGAGTATGATATATGATGAAATAATGCGTTGTTATAAAAGTTATGATAATAAGTTGTAATTGACATAATATATTAATATACCGCTTTTAAAAGTATTTGCTATGCTTTCAACCACTCACATTTCGTAACAATTTCAGAGCAACGTATAATATATGATGATGTAAAATGCAGATTAAACATGACGACGATGAAAATGCCGGTGACGTAAAGTAAACATATTTAATGTTCGTGAAATGCATAATTTGATCTGCGTAACAGTGTTTCCGCCTCAATTTCATATTTTACGCATGAGACATCGTAATATCGAGCACATCAATTATGAACTATATGATCTTTCGCCAGAGTGATCGTTATATATAATTTAGATGAAACTTTTTTTTTATAGAAGATAGCTTTTCTGAGAAGTTTCTTATTGTTTTAGTAATATAAAATAAAATTTAATCTTGTATCAATTTGCGGTAAATATGAAATTTTACAATAATTTTGGAATTTTGGAACCATTTTTTATCTTGGTAATTTTTAAATATTGTTTTTAAATATATGTGTCAATTTTCAAATATATACCAATTAACGGAAGAACATTAATGATTTATCATTCTACGCGTGAAATGTTGTCACAGCAGTTACTTCTCTGACGGAAATCGCACTTATTAAAACTTCCTTATATGATCTATTGAACTGTCATATTTCACGCTCTCTCTCTCTTTCTTTCTCTTCGTCTATGATACTCTCTTACTCTTGAAGAACTTTTATGATAGGAGTTTTATATATTTTATCGTAAATGTCGAGTACGACGGTATGTTTTTCTATTTACGGTGCTTCGGCAAACAAGACAAATTCATGAAATTCACAGAAAATACTTGAGATTCATATGAGTTTTTGAATTTGAATCGCCTTTTTGCTTATGAATTGTACAGACTCAATTTCATTATCTCGAACTTTTGCCATCGTAAAGCCCATGGCACATACAAAAACGTAAGGCCGTAAGATGTAATCAGTAAGCGAATTGGCCAATGACGATAGAGACCGTAAGGCCAGTAGCGAATCCAATGTTACGATTTCCTTACTGCTTACGTCTTACGGCCTTACGTTTTTGTATGTGCCATGGGCTTAATTTTTCTGCTAACTTATAACTTAATACTATTTATTATCAAATTGCATAACATTTTTTTTACTATGTCTCTATACTTTTAAAAATGTATAATGTGGCGAACAATGGCGGTTATTGATTTTGTGCGTAAATTGCGTTAGCAATCATTTAAAGCTTTTACGTGGAAATAATATTGTAAAGTGATACAAAAGAATTATATAATGTATCAACGATTATTTAGTTTCTCGTTAAAATCATTTTCATCTTTTTTATAGTTAAATTATATAAAAAAACTTTATTGAACTTGAGAATAATAGAAATGAAGCTAATATAAAACATAATATGACATATAAAATGAATAATAACATATGTAATATTACTATTGTTATATTATATAGAATTTAATTCTTGCACATTCGTCATTGTCATATCTAGTAGTAGAGATCAAATATTTACCTGTTAAATTTCATTAGAATTTATTAATTAAATCTCAGCCCTCGCGATATAACGAATATGTAATAAACGAATGTGACATCTTATAGTGTACGATTTACGGCCACTGATAAGTATAAATTCATCATTTTATGATTCATTGAATCATAAAATTGATTATGTAAACGAAGAGGATACGCTTCTTAATTATTTTAATCGTTGAATATGAGCACTCATTTGCATATAAATCCGATTAGAAATAAAAGAAAAATTCAGAAAAATTTTAAATTATACACCAGCTCCCAAACAATATAATTAAGTATTTATTTGTAGTTTATTTTGATACATTTTGAACTTACCCAACATCACGTAGCACGTGTTGAAGAAACTCGGGCCCAGTATAACGCTGAGCAATCCTAAAATGCCCTGTGGCATCTCCGTAACGAGGAATAACAGGAGCACGGCTAACAACATCATCGTAGTCCTGTCAGTCTGTCTTTCTTTATCGTTGCCCTTTCTTCTTTTCTTGGGTTTCTCGCAGGTGTGCTCCTTGCCGTTACCCATCTTGATTGCAGTGTTTTTCGTAGTGAGTTTCTTTCGCCTTTGTTTTGCCTCCAACAACACCTTGACTAGTTTAATACTCAATCCTGTCAACGCTACACACGGTATCAGCTTGATCACCACGCTATAGATCCAAACGTTGATGTCCTTGAGAACAGTGCTCATTGGAGATTCGGTGAGTTTCACGAAATATAGCGTGGTGTTAGTCGTGCCTTCGAGAGACGCGACTGTGCTGTTGACCGTCTGCTGGAGCTTTGTTAGATTGACGCTCATCCCCTGTTCATCTAGTATTTCCACTTGCGGTCTCACTTCGGTGTTAATGTAAAGCGGTATGCAAAGTATTGGGCAGGACACATAAGCGAAGGCGATCATTAGGCAGGTGCGTTTGTTACTGCACCATTCGCGATTCCTCTGTGGATATGCTACTGCAATATACCTCCAGACTGCTAGAGTAACCGTCAGGCAAATTGAGATCGTATGACACACTTGTGCGAAGTTAGAATGGAATAGCACGAAGATGCTCCAACCGTAGGTGAAGGTATCTCTGCGGGGCCGTTGATAGAGGTACATATGGATCGCATAAGGAATGTACTCGATCATCACGAATAGATCGGCCACGGCGAGACCGGTGAGAATCATGTTAGTGGGCGATTGCATCTCACGACGCGTTAGCACGGCGATATTGAGTACATTGGCGATCGAGCCGAATATGCATACCAATAGACTAGCCCAGCCATGCACTTGAGCATACCAATTGTAGAAGGATTCTAAGCGCGCGCCGCACTCGTATCCCGTGGGTTCTGGCGCCAGCGTGAAGTTCTGGCTGAAATTCATCTTTGCGAAGTGAAGTGGTCCTGCGAACGAGCAAAGTGCACTACCACTATGGGATCAATGAACTCTTCTTTCTTGCCTTTTCGAATTCCTATTCTCTTCTGATGAATCATTACCGTCTATGACAATAATTTTCTTGATGTTTTTTCATTGAAGAACGTTACACAAATGGAATAACATGAATCGAAGTTAATCATATGAAATTATACTGATAACTGACGATTATATTACGACATTATTAGTGACGACTTACACATATTAATGACGATGAAATTAAGATTACAACCATGATTAAGTTTTTTTAAAAGTTATTACTGTCAGATTAACGAAGAGATTTATTACACACAGCTTAGCAATGTTAATTGCTACCGATTCTTAATGATTTCTACATTAGAGAACATTTATAAACCGATATTGGTATATTTCATAGCAAACGGAAAAAAAACGTTTTCGTCATTTCTGTGTCATCTTGGGGAGATACGATCGAGAAAATCGAATCACTTTGCCTACTTATACATCACATCTTTGATTCACTTTAAAGTTTCGGTTGACTAAGTTTGATCAGAAATCGTTCACTGATTTGATGCACAGAGAATGTGATAATTTTTCTACATTCTTCGAACTGGAAATCACACGATAACTTTGAGACAATTTGTGCTCGTATATACGCGGATGTGAAAGGAAGGATAAAGTTACTATGTGTTTGAAAATCCTCTCTCTCGATCTAACTCGAATGATCATAGTCAAATATATTTTAGTCAAACTTTTACGTTGACAAAGGGCGTACGATGAAACGTTGAAATGTAATAATAATAAAACTTTCGTTATTATCGTATGACAATTTGAGGTTTCCAAGCGGAGCGTTGAATACAAGTGCAGTCAGTTTGCCTCAATTATTATATTACACTTTTTAGAGTTATATTTCAGCGCTTAAAAGACACAAATTGATACGCGCTGATAATGTCAAGTTTTTATATAACAAATGTCAAGATTATGTTCCTCCCTTTCGCAACAATAAAGATAATAAGTTTCTTAGTAGAGGTTTATATCTACTATTCAAATATTTAACATCAATTAAGTAGTATTATTAATTAATAGACACGCAGAATTACAATTAGCGAGGACGATGTTTAATTTATTTTCCTGAAATTAGCCATACCGCCCGCGTGAAGTCCAGCTTTCCAAATTCGAGGAATCGCAACTTTTCGAGTGAATCGAATTTTTGTGTCGTGCAGGATCACTATGACATGTGATACGAACGGCCGATGATATGTACGGTTGGTGACACGTGTAAGAAGGACGCTTCAGTTATTAACGTGGTTGCCGCACCCTGGTGTAGTGCGAATGATCCTCGAGTGCCATAGAAATACTTTTCTACGCACAGCGTAATAATCATTCGGGCACGAAACGAGCATTATCGTCAATCCGAACAAAGAGATGCACAAACATTCCGTTTTCAGTTTCCCACTTCTCTTGCTGTATGTAGATCGAATTACCGCCCACACTTAACCGATCACTAAACGAGCTCTTGATCGTAGAATGAGCTTGTACCGCTGGCTAAAATTATTCTTCACAAGCGCTAATTTGAGATCGCTCGTTTTACGCGTTTATGTCGCCTTATCTTCTTTTAATATAGTTTATTTTAATTCTGATATTCGTGATATTTATTACACTCGCACCGATTGTTCCGCGTTTTTTTTTTTGCTTTGTTAGCAATTTTTTTTGCAAACAACACATCTGTTTTACGTTAGATAGAAATGCGAGGAGCATCGCACGCCCGCATATGTGATAAGTTGACGTCCGGACGTCGAATGAAGCGAAAAGGCGTCGCGACGCCTCGTACACTGGAATGGGGTAGCTTTTGCGCCTGCGTCCAATTCTCCATTCTAGTCCCCTTCTATATCTTCCTCCCTTTCATTCTGTTTCTTCCGGTCTCTCTCTTCCTCCGTACTGTCCTTTCTCGTCTGTCAAAGCAGTTCCCTTGCATCTTTGCGTCGAAAGCGTTAGTTGGATCCCCTTATAAGAGTGATCCAGAAATCTTAGATGCGGCAATTTATAACCAAATGGAGATTTAATCTTAATTCAAATTCCATAAAGCAGATTCATATATGAGAAAGAATTATTAGATTATTTATTATTGTGATTTAAGAGCCATTTATGTAATTCTATACATTCTTATATTTTTCTTATTTCAAAATTATTTTTCATGAATTGCATTTATTAATTCTATGTGAAGATGCTATACAAATAATCTTATTTTTATTTTTTTTTAATCTAATTTTCTTTTTGATTGTATATTTATTTTCAGTGTTATTTTTCTTCCGTGAAAGAAGAAAGAATACTTGAAAATGTTGGAACGAAATACTTTGAAAGAGATTCGCTTTAATCTTATCAAATCATAATGTAAGAGCTGTGATACGTACGCAATCGAATCGCGGTGCTAAACGATTCTGAGATAAAGAAAAGGAAACAATTTAAATCTCGTTGATGGGAAGGGAATTGGGGAAAGTCTGAGTCAACGATGGTAACCATTAAAATGTCGTCATACGTTACCGAACGGAAGAAAATCCTGATTCCAAGTCGTTTCTCATCAAAATACCTGTAGGATGCTTCATTTTTATTCTCCTTAGCTACTACTTTTACGCATTTTTTTTATCGGTTCTCGTTTGTGAGCCTCGTTAAAGTGCATCTCAGCTTGTAAAAGTGCCTTGCTTTTTACCCGGGTCTGTCTTCTGTCATCAGCGCGCCCATCGGTATCAGCTTCCGGTTGCAACGGTACGATTCCCAACTCGGCTTTGACATAGCGATGCAATCTCCGCATCAGCGAGGATTGCTTTTTCTCCCAACTGCATTCGTCGTTTGTCTCGTGTTAACAGAATGGCGCTTTCGTGAATGAAATCCACGTACGCTTCGGTGTCTTTGAATAGCGAACGTAATTAGCACCTACAAATGCGGATTTACTTTATAGTAAATCGGTTCAGTGAAGATGCTCAATTGATTGATATGTTTAGTTAATTAATTGAGTAATTTACCTGAAAATTGACGCGTTCTAAACGCACGGAGATGATGTATGTATGTACGAAAATACTACGGTTATAGAGGAATGTTTCATGAATGCACTCAGTTCCGTATTGTCATCACAGATTTGATACTAAATGTTCTCTGATACCTCACGTTAATATGCAAACGCAAATCTCATATTAGATATGTGATATTAAATAGTTACGTTTCACATTAAATGTTTTAAATGAATGTATAATCGTAAAAATGTGAGAAAAAACATAGAAATCTAGACAATTGCAATTCTTTTAAGTATTTTCTTAAATATATAGATTTTTAGAACAATAAAATTAAAAAATGAGTGTTCATGTACTATTATTTACATAAAAATACAATAATTGTTTTTTAAATTGTTTCTTCGCAAAAAAAAACAAATAATATTTCATATTCTGCCATTACAATTTCTAGAAATTTTTTTTTTTTTGCGTTATATTAGAATTGCATTATAGTAGGATTATGATGCGTTCGTATTTAATGGGACTCATGATAAATCTTCCTCCTTATTATTCTCCGTCGTAAAGTGCAAGCATTGCGCAATATCTCCTAACATATGTGACAGCGAGAATCGTTTTGCATATGCGAAACAATTTGTAACAGCATCCTGGTATTAATTCTCATCGTTAATACGAGTACATGCCGTGTTGAGCCTTTTCATTCTCTCAGCAACCTTCGAAGATATTCGCATGTTGCTTCTCTGAGGCTTACAACAAATGCAAATAGCAATGCGTAACAATTTGTGTTCGATTGAAAGCGTGCGTTTCGCATTTCTGTTCGAACTATCGTTTTATCAAAGTCGACTCGGATAGAAACTGGTATAATTTCGATGAATTCAATTTCAATCGTTATATATAGACACAATGGAACAGTGCTTAGATCGCATTTCCATAGTAATCTCTAAAGCGTGATAGGGGCTAAAGTAGATAGGGGGTTACAGTGATCAGCGCAAAATTGCTCGTTTAAGAAAGAAAGACTTTTTTAAGTATAACATTATGAAACAAGGGGGAGAAAAGGAACCAATAATTTTCCAATTTCATAAATTTTGTATAATTTGCCAATTATATAAATTTTATATAATTTGCCAATTTTATGAATTGTATATAATTTGCCAATTTTATGTAATTTTCTATCATCGAATCTGTTTTTATCCTTTTTATTGAATCTATTACAATCTTAATATATCTTATTATTCTTTAATGTTGAAGATTGTGCTAATTTTATAGATTTTAGAGTTTTACATTGTTTTTGAAATATGATTTTTTATAAATTTTATTTTACGAACATTTTATAGCAAAATACTTTTTTTATTTAGGAGATATATTTGAAACTGTTCTTTTATACTGAAAAAGTTTTAAAAAAGATAATAAATATTGAAAAATAATTTTTTCAACATAGGGGAAGGATATTTTTAACATATCCAACTCTTATTTCTCGTAGAGAATTATTATTTTATATTCTCAGCATTTGGATATAGGTAAATTGATTTTGGAAGATTTCAATATCTGATTTCTTTTTTTCCCTAGCTACTTTTTTGCCTTTTTTTACCTTGTTGCTTCGTTTCCGTTTCTCCTTGAGATTTTCTGCAGCTTCATGCATATTATACATCTAACACTGGAAAGCTATTACCTCGAGTTGAGCGCGGAGAACGTGTTTTACATTAGGTGAGTGAGAGTGTACCTTTTCTTAATGGTATCGTATTAAAAGTCTCCATACGAATTGTGTGATTCTGGTGTATCTTATTTTCAATCGTGGATTTTTTCAGTTCAAAAAAACTTTAGTATTAAACTTATAGAGATTTATATCGTTCTCATAATCCCAGGTAGCAGTGTGACATTATTTGTCATCTAAATAAATGACAAATAATGTTAGCTTGCTACTGGGGATATTTATGTTGTTTTGTTCATGAAAACATCTAGTGTCACGTTGTTACAGCCAGCCTTAAATCTAAAATACAGTTTTGACCGCAAATGGAACATTTAACAAACTGCGCAATAATAATTATTTAAATGGATTTAAATGCTCAATGGAAATCGTTATTTCACGATGCGTAAATTCCGTTTGTATCAATATTA